GGGTCTTGAACTTCTGACCTCAAGCAATCCTCCTGCCTCGGCCTCCCAGAGTGCTAGGATTACAAGCACGAGCCACTGCACCTGGCCTGAGAATGACCATTTCCTGACATCTGAGGATTTCTTTCTTTTGTTCACCCATTTGCTGTTGACTTTAAAGAGCAGAGGGTGAGCAAGGAATACAAATGTGGAAGAAAAATGAAATTATGTATTTGTGCCTTGGATCAGAGAGTTCCCCAGACCCCGTTTGGAATCACCGTTCCCTGAGGGAGCACATTGGCTCAGTTGATGTTTTCCAGGATTGGGCTTTGAGCATGGCGCAGTTCTCTCTCTGTGCCACGAGGGTCAGCTTCCTACACTGGGCAGCTTGTAAAGTCAGATAGGGCAAGGGCGAGGTCACAGCCCCAGGAGTCTGTTCCAGCAGGAAGCTGGCCTCTTGGATGGAGCCTGTAACTCCATCCCTTGGTGTCAGATCCTAGAGATACCGGTCAAGAATAGCAGCACAGCCCTCATGGCCTATCATGCCCACAGATAGGCAGGGAGTGGGGGAGAGAGAAGGTAGATACAAATTCGCTCTCATCAGCAGGGTCCGAAAATGAAATTCAGGGAGCATTTATGGAGCTCCTACTCTTTGCTGGGTGCTGGTTGAGAATCAGGGAATGGAGCAGGCAGAGCATGTTGGCTCAGCTGCCAGGATTAGGTTGCAGTCTGGCATGGTAACAATCCAGATGGATATCCCTGTTCTCATGGAGCTGACATTCTAATTGGAGGAAAATTGCTGAGGAGATGAGGCTCTGGGAAATGGTGTGTCCTGCTCAGGGTTCGTCCCTTCCCAGAGGCAGCAGATGTGATGTGGAAAATGAGCTGAGACCCTTCTGAGTCATGGTTATAAACTCCCTCACTTCCCTCAGAGGACTGATGTGGCTATTAAGTGATGTATGTAAAACACATAAGCACCTGGTAAATGTTAGTTTTTATTACTGTTAGGATTGTAGTCATAATTGTTATTACTGTTGTTATAACAGGCCATTCCCTGTTGTGAAGGTTTGGGCAGTTTCCCCAGAGGGAGAGGGCAGGAGTGAAACTCTGTGGTCTGCAGAAGGCACCAGCTCTGCAACTTCTGGGAATTGGTTTGGCTGAGGGGCCAGAGCAGGACTGGGGCGGGCAATGTCGCTCCAGGCTGCTGAGAAAGCTGGGCAGGGTGCGCCATCTGCTGGAGCCAGGGGGAACTGCCTAGGACAGTATTCTGGCCCCACCTTTGTTTTACACATAGGGAAACGGAGGCCCCAAGAAAGGCAGGGTCTTGCTCAGGGTCCAGTGGCAGAACTTGGGTTTAAGGTCACATGTCTCATTATTTGCTCTTTCTACTGCAGGACACCTCCGTGTCTCATCTGATCTTTGATTGCCCCTAATCCATTCTTTAGGTGTCTCTTCTGAGCTAGGTGTTGTCGGGGACTCTGGGCCCAGCCCCTATGCTGATTATCCCTCGTGCGTGCGTGTGTGTGTGTGTGTGTGTGTGTGTGTGTGTGTGTGTGTCTGTCTCTCCCTCTCTCCCTCTCTCTCACACACACACACACACACACAATGGTACTTACTAAGCCCCACCCTGGGTGCTTTCTGGGCACTTCCTGCCAATGTCAGTTACCTTCTAAAAGCATTACATGATAACTTGGGTTTATAAAAACTTCAACCATTACAAAAATATAGACTTAGAAAACAGAAGTTTCCCTTAATCACAAAGAACCACAGTTGACAAGGTTGATATGTATTTTTTCAGATTTGTTTTTCATACATCTGCTATTTTTCCCCACAGAAACTGAGTTTTATTTCAGGTGTTGTTTTGCAACTTGTATTTTTCAATTGACAGTTTTATCTCAGACATCTCGCTGTGTCAGTACAGGTCTATCTGGCACATTTCTTTTTATTTATTTATTTACTGACACATTGTAATTGTACATATTAATATGTATGGGGTACAATTTGTTTTTTTTTTGTTTGTTTTTGAGACAGGAGTCTTGCTCTGTAGCCCTGGCTACTAGAGTGCAGTGGCTTCATTATAGCTCACTGCAACCTGAAACTCACAAGCTCAAAGTGATCCTCCTGCCTCAGCCTCCTGAGTAGCTAGGACTACAGGTGAGTGCCACCATACCTGGCTAATTTTTTCTATTTTTAGTAGAGACGGGATCTCACTCTTGCTCAGGCTGGTCTCAAACTCCTGAGCTCAAGTGATCCTTGTGCCTTGGCCTCCCAGAGGGCAAGGAGTATAGGTGTGAGCCACCACACTGGGTTGCCAATTTGATTTTTTGATATATATGTTGTATAACATTCAAATCAGGGTAGTTAGTGTATCCATTACCCCTTGCATTTGTCAGTTCTTTGTGGCAAGAACATTCAAAAGCCTCTCTTCTAGCTATTTTGTAACATGCAATGCCTTTCTGTTAACCATCATTACCCTACAATGTACTGAACTTATTTAGTTTGCAACAGTGCAAACTTATTCCTCTTGTCTAATTGTAACTTTGTACCCATTGACTAACCTCTCCTTCCTCTTTCCTCCCTCCCCAGTCTCTGGTAACCACTGTGCTATTCTCTGCCTCTGTGGTATCAAATTTTTTTTTTTTTAGATTCCATATGTGAGTGATATCACACAGTATTTGTCTGTGTCTGGCTTATTTCACTTAACCTGATGTCCTTGAAGTCCATCCGTGTTGTCACAAATGATAGGATTTCATTCTTTTTAATGGCTGAATCATATTCCCTTGTGTATATACACATTTTCTTTATCCATTCATCCATTGTTGGACACTTGAGTTGATACAATAGCCAATATTTTGGCTGTTGTAAATAGTGCTGCAGTAAACATGGGAGGGCAGATATCTCTTTGATGGAGTGATTTCATCTCCTTTGGACATATACCCAGTAGTGGGACTGTTGAATCATATGCTAGTTCTGTTTTTAATTTTTTGAGGAACCTTTATGCTGTTTTCCACAGTGGCTGTATAGCACTTTTTTTTAGTGAATACTTCATAATTCCCATAATGCCTGGCCTCCTGGTGGACATTTGGGTGGTTTCTTATAGGTTGCTATTACTGACCATGTGCAGTAAACATCCTCACAATTTAGACAGCAGGGGGTATTTGCCTGAGTGTGTCTAGAACTGGGATTTTCTAGGCCCACCCCACTGCACTGTGAAGCCCTAGAGTCGGGCCAGTGCTTAGACCCCCCTCCCTCTTCCTAACTCAGAGTCTGCCAGGTAGCCAGAGTCCATGCAATGACTGTGATTTAGTTGCCTTCAGAAAACCATAGGTACTCAATAGAGACACTAGTATCCCCCTAGCAAATTAACCTTTTATGATTATAGTAGCAATACTTCTTGTTGGCAAAGGTATAGATAAATGGGCAATCTCGCACACTGCTGGTGAGAATATAAATAGGAACAGTACTGATTTGATAAGATTTTTTTCTTCCAATTTTTATTATAAATACCACTATGCCACGTGGGAAGGCAACTTGGAAATGTGTCAGAAGTCTAAACATTATTTCACTCTTCCCTTTAGCTCAGCAACTCTGCTTATAAGAATATGCTCTAAGGAAATATTAATGGTTACGGATGGGCACAAAGATTTGCAGGAAGACTCAGTGTTTTGTACAGGGGTGGAAAATTGGAAAGTACCTGCATGTTCATTTCTAGGGGACTGATCCTAGAGTGTATCCTGGCATGTCCAAGTATGCAGGTACAAGAACTAGGAGGAGGGAGCCTTAACATGCTCTTAAGTGTTCTGAAGAGTAGGCTGTAAAATACAACGTATGGTATGATCCCAAATAAATTCTAAATGTATGTGGCTCTTCTTTACATGTGTGATTTTCTTCTCTTCTCTCTCTAGGCTGTACTATCAACCACCAGGGCTGTTACCTACCATCTCTGTAGTAAGAACTCCCAATTTCATATCTTTCCCACCCCTCATGTGACCTCCAGCCCCCTAGCTCCACGTACTACTCTATCTCCCCCTTGGAGGGGTCACAGGCATCTCACAGTTAACGTGGCCAAAAGGACTCTTAATTTCCACCCCACTTCACTCCCCAAATATTCCTCCTGTTATTATTCATCTCAGTAAACCACATCTGTCCACCTACTTATCCACTCCAGAAACCCAAATTTCCCATCCATCAAACACTGAGTCCTGTTGATTTGTTCTCCATATTACATCTGGAATCTGTCCCACCACCACCACCACCTTCCTCCACTCACCATCTTTGCACTTGAACTTCTGCAGGAGCCTCTTAACTTGCCCTCTTCCCAGCCCTGCTCCACCCAGACACCAGAGTCCTCTTTGAAGATGGACCGCTGATCGTTCCTGACCCTCAGGGACCAAGTCCGAAATGTAGTCTGGCCCCTGCTCACCTCAGCAGTGCCCTTCTCCCGCCACGCTCCAGCCTGCTGGCCCTTTCTGTTCTTCATCCCACCTCGCCTTCCCTCCCTCCCCAGAGCCTTCAAACGTGCTGTTCCCCTCACTCCGCAGCTAGATGATGCCTGTTCCTCCTCGGAGCTGAGCTAAAATGTCACTTCCTGACCCAGCCTTGATCAGGTCCTGGTGGTCCCTCCAGCACCCTCTCTTGAATCCCTGAGCACCAAGGTCATGACTTAAGTGCTAGGTGATTTTATGCCACCTCCTGTAGATGGTAAGCTCTGTGAGGGCAGGGACCATGGCTGACTTGCTCACTGCTGCATCTGTAGCACTCAGCCAGTGCCGGGCACATGATATTGATAAATGTGTATGTGTTTATCAATAACTTTACTTAAAAGTCTGAACCCATGTTCTTTAAAATGTTGATGGTGGTTGTCTAGTTGTGGAATCATGAGTGAGTGACTTTGTACTTGTTTTCAATGAGAAAGACAATAACTATCATTTTGTCAGAAAACATCAGTGCTGGGAACTGGAGCTGAGTCTTCTCTGCAGGATACACCCGGACTCACCTCTGCCTCTTTCCCCCCATCCCCACAGGCCTGAGGAGCGATGCAACAGGCATGATGGAGGTCGAGTCCTCCTACTCGGACTTCATCTCCTGTGACCGGACGGGCCGTCGGAACGCTGTCCCTGACATCCAGGGTGACTCGGAGGCTGTGAGCGTGAGGAAGCTGGCTGGAGACATGGGCGAGCTGGCACTCGAGGGTACAGGTCAGAGCCAGCAGGTCTGCCACACTCTCTGCCAGGCTCTGGGCTGGCTTCCAAGTCTCGACTGCCCACACTTCCTCAGGGAAGAAACTGCATTTAAATCAGGCCTGTCCCATGGTCAATGGCAGACAGTGCAGCCAATCTCTAGGTGGGAGGGTGCCGGTGTCTCGGGCCCCAAGGAGTCTCTGGCCAGGCATCCTAGGCTCTCCCCTTCCCCTGAAGTCCATCTGAAAGTCCTGTCAGTTCTCCTCTGAGATATATCTCAGGTCCATCCACTTCTTCCCATCCCACAGCCACACCCGGCTGACTGCAGTGCCTCCCTGCACCCCTCTGTCCTGCTCTGTGCAGCAGCCCGAGGATTCCCTTAAGCTGTCCTGTCCCATCATGCTTCTGCCAAAATATCCCCCAGGAGCATCACCCTCAGAGTGAAGCCAGACTTGTCACAGTGCCTACAGCAGTCCTGCTGTGAGCCGGGCCCTGATGCCATTTTCCCGTCGCCTCCACCCTCCAGCCACACCTGCCTATGTCTGTCTCTCAGTGAAGGCACAGGTCTTTCCGCTTTTGTCTCACTGCTTCCTCCACGTAGAACATTCGCCACCCAGTGCTGTGGCTGCCACCTCCTCACACTCAGGCCCAAGCTCAGATACCAAGCACTGGGAGGGGCTTTCCTCGTCTGTTAAACTGTCCCTTCCCAGTCACGTGACCACATCACTCTCTGACAGGGTCTCATTTGTTTAAATATGAGCTCCAGGGGAACAGAGGCCTTCTGTTCTGTCTGGCACACAGCAGGTACTTGGTAATCACAAACTGAACGAATGACTAGAGGAAACGTAACGTCTGCCACCCCAGTGTTGCCTGGGACACTTCTACTCCCCCTCCCCTCCCTCCATTCTCCCAGAGGACCCTGCTTGGCCCTGGGACCTTCCTCTGGGAAGCCTTCCCTGACCCCTGCTGCTAAGGCCTTTTCTCCTGCTCCCACAGCACCACAGGGCCGTGTCTGTTACATCACTTCTCATAGCGCAGCTGTCAGGGCACAACCCTGCCTTTCACTGTCACCCCAGTCCAGAGCTCTTGGCCCTCAGAGTGACCTATGAGTGCAAAACAGAGAAGGCTTTGTGGGGACGTGGACCCAACCCTGTCGTGTTATAGATGGACAAACTGAGGCCCAGAGAGAACAAGTTAACGTAGTTAGTGTAAGAATCTGGCTGCCTCAAGAGAGAGTCCCTGCCCGTGGAACCCCACTGCTCCGAGGCCTTCCCTATTCCAGTGGTCTGCCAGCCCTCCTTTGTCATGTGCCTCCAGCTCCTTGCAGGCACATCAGCCTCTGTGGTGTCACCCTGCTCACCCCTCCAGCCTCAGCCTCCCCTTCCTCCCCTAGGACCCGCTCACGCAGCCAGGGGAAGGTCCTTTTCTCTCTCAGAAGCCCCCATGGACCTTAACACATGAGACCCTCTGCCTGGTCCTCACCCCCACCCCCCACAGCTGGCTTCTCCTCATCCTTTAGAGACCCAGATTCCTGCTGTGGTGAGAAGCCGTCCCTGATGGCAGTGCCCCCTCCCAGACAGGGAGGCGCCTCTTCTCCCTGCTGCCTCCGTAACCCCACATAACACAATGCCCTCCTCTACACTGAGCTTCTCCAGCACAGGGTCTGTGTCTTGTGCCCTCGGTGCCTGGTGGCGTTGGGCACGTGATAGAGGTGCCTAGTTAATGGCTGTTCACTGACCGACTGAATGACCAGCAGGCCCAGCTGTCACACCAGGCATGCTGCCAGGGCTCGCTCTCAAGGCCTCTGTGTCCTTCCCCTAAGCTCTAGTAAACTTTATTTTCTGTCTCCCTCTACCTCAGCAGTTGCAGCCACTCATCCATGTACCTGGGCCCTTCTGACTCAGAATCTCTTAAGTGTTGGGGTCCTCGACATTTGCCTGCCAAGGCAACTGACATTTAAAAATGAAACCCAGGGGCTGGGTGCAGTGGCTCAAGCCTGTAATCCTAGTACTTTGGAAAACTGAGGCAGGAGATTCACTTGAGGCCAGGAGTTGGAGACCACCCTAGGCAACATAGTGAGACTCTCATTTCTACAAAAAAATAACAAAAATTAGCTGGGCGTGGTGGTGCATGCCTGTAGTCCCAGCAGCTCAGGAGGCTGAGGCTGGAGGATCACTTGAGCCCAGGAGTTCCAGGCTGCAGTGAGTTATGACTGTACCACTGCACTCCAGCCTGGGCAACAGAGTGAGACCCTATCTCTAAAAAATTAATAAATAAAAAGATTAAAAATTAAGAGGGAAAAAAAGGGGGACCTGAGGAAAGAACAGTGCTCACTGCACAGAATTGTAGCCCTCATGGTAGAGCCCCTGCAGGAGTGACTCCCAGGAGGCTATTAGCAGTGTAGTTTCCACAGGCAGGGCTGAGGCCGTGGGAATACAGGGTTCCAGGTGCCACCCCAGAGATTCTGATAGCAGCATGTTTGGGGCCTCTGCTGGCTTACAGCCTCCCAGGAGACTACGGCACGGCAGGGGAAGGGGAACCTCCCAGCCTCCCCAGGTCTGTGGCCGGTCATGTTTGTTAGCACTCCCCAAGCATGTTGTGTGCAAACCTTTGTCATTCCTTGATATTTCCTTGTGTAGGGAGCACAGAAATTTCCTTAATTGGCCTTAAAAAAGAAACAGCAGGCAAGGCATGGAGAAGTGTGAGTGCCCTGCCCACCTTTGTGGAACATTTTCTAATCCTGCTCTGAAACTGGCCCCAAGAGAGTCCTAAGGGTGCCAGTTGGAGAGGAAAGTGCTCTCCCTGCCCGAGAACGAGCCGGGACTGGCCCAGAGGAAGCATTCCCGGTGGCTGAGCCATTCCAATGTGCCAGATGACCACATTCAGGCCCTGCACCCGCCTCGTGGCCTAGGCAGAGGTTGTCGCCATCCTCCTTTATAGATCGGGAAGCAGAGGCTCAGAGACGTTCAATGACTTGCCCAAGGCCCCACAGCAAGGAAATAGAGCAGAGATCACTAGGGAATTTCAAGACAACCTTCCTGCTCATGGTGGGAGGAGGCTCGGGGACAAATAGGGCATCACAAGGTGGAAATGTTGTCTGAAGAGTAGTCTGGTTGGTCAGGCTTCTGGAGGGCCAGAAGAATCTTCTGGACCTTTGGTAAGGCACTGTCCCAGGAAAGGAGGCAGGATGGGAGTGGGCAGGCAGCAAGGTCACCACAGACTTGAGGGCCAGACCTCCAAGTTCTTCCTGCACCACTTGCTGCCGCTGCCACTAGCTGCCTGAGCGCTGGAAGGACACAATGAGGCAGCGCTGACGCTGTGGCTTTCGAAACCCTCGAGCAGTCTTACTGGAAGAGGTTGTTTATGGTGGTGGGGGCACGAGCCTTGGTGGCAGGCAGAGCTCTCTCGCTCTCTCCACCACTTGATCTTAGGCAAAACATTCACGCCTCTGAACCTCGGTTTTCTTGTGTGTATCATGACCCTAATGACACCTCCAGGTTGCTGTGTGGATTGCATGAAAATCTGCCCCCAGCAGTCCGCACACCCTGGAGGCCGGTACAGGGTGTGGTTTTCCTTAGTTATGGCATGAAGGATGCAAAGGTGTGGTCTGGTGAAGGCTGGGTTTGAAGTCAGGCCCTCGGTGAGCTCATACGGCACCTGGTGACATTGCAGTGTTGCTGAAGTTGAAGAACTACACCCCTGATGGAGCTTTGCCCACATGCCAGGCCCCATGTGGGCACCTCATGGGAAGGTGCCTGATTAACAGAGAATGGGAGGGGTGGTCTGGGCACAAGCTTGACACTGCCCTCACCTGCACTGCTGGACCAGTGGGTGGCAGGGCCTGCCTGCCCCACTTTCCACAGTGGGGCTTGAGAGAAGCTGGGCCACAGGAGACCCAGCTTGCACCCTGACTCACTGGGCAAGTCGCTCCCCCTCTCCAAGCCTGCTGCTGCCCCTCACCCTACTGGGGGTTCCAGCAGGATAGAGTTGGGAAGGGGGCAGAGGCTGCCGGCAGCATGCTGGCTCAGGCTCTGCACAATACCCCTCACCCGAGATTACTGTGGGCACCCACAGACCCTAATGCAGCCCACACCCTGGCACTCCCCAAGCTGGCCTGGTTCTACGCCCTTTACTGTCTTATAAGTACAGCTGCCATTTGCTGAGCACTGGGGACTTAACATTTGCCCTCTCCCTCTGGTGATCCTGCACAAACATACTGACCTTCAACAGCCCTTCACCTGAAGCTTTTAGCACCCATCTACAATCCTGGCCTTTGACTTTTTTTGAGACAGACTTTCATTCTGTTGCCTGGGGTGGTGTGCAATGGTATGATCATAGCTCACTGCAGCCTCGAACTCCTGGGCTGAAGCAATCTTCCCGCCTTAGCCTCCCAAAGTGCTGGGATTATAGGCGTGAGCCACTGTACCTGGCCCTTGAATTGGCTTTTAATTATATAAGTAACAACACATGTGTTTCCACGGTAAAAATTAAGGTATTACAGTCCAGGCTAAAGTTCCCCTTGGCCACCACCCCTCCTAATCCAGCTCCAGTCCTGCCGCTCCCCAGGGCTTATCTGATGGTATCAGTTTGGCTGGGCGCTCCCACCCCCGCTTCTGTGCTTTACATTTGTGTATATGTGCCCAGGAAAAACCTGCTGCTCTTTCTTCTCTCCAGAAGGACAGGCAGAGGCAAGCACCGCAGACAAGGAGGCTAGCAAGCAGCCCCAGAGCAGTGATGGCGCCACCTCGTCTTGAGTCTGACCTTGTCCAAGGAGGCTGAACGAGACCTGCTGTCCTCTCCTGGAAGGGGAACCCTGGCACTGGCCTGGCAGCCTCTTCTCTGAGCCCCACCCTGTCCCAGGCAAGCTAGGCCAGACTGAGAGGGCCCCCCCGAGGCCTTTGTGGCCCCCACTCTGGGTAAGCCCTCTGCCCACACCCACAGGCTCTGCATTCCCACCACCACCTCGCCATGCCCAGGTACACCTTCAAGACACTGTAGCCACAGGATGTTATTTATTCGGCTGGCACCCAGACTCACAGGCTGGGCCCTGCCTGCCAGGGTGAGTGGCCCACGCAGGAACACTCCTTTTGTCAGCGGCCTGGGTGGGGACCATGTCCCAACACCGACCCCTCCTCTCCAGCCCCAACCTTCTGGGTCAAGACCTTCTTACCCCTTTTTTAAAAAACACTTTTAAACTTTTTAAAAATTTTAAACCTTTTTTCAGCAGAGAGGGAGAGAATGGACAATCAGTTTACTTTTTTTTTTTTAAGCCATTTTAAGCTAAACTCTCACCATCTGTCTAGGCAGCTCTGAGGTTCCCTCGTGGAGCTTCACAGATCCATTTTTAGGGAAGGGATTTTGGCTCAAAACTATCTGACCAACTCTTTGCCCTTTCTACCAAGATAAGTGACACCTATGACCCAGGAAATAAATGCTGATGATCTGTGTGACTGGTTTAAGATTATTTCTCCTACAGACAGCAAGAGCAGGGGTTGGGCCTTGTTTTCTCCAAGTCCACACTGAGCTGGACTTGCTCCAGGCTTCCACAGGAGGAGACACTGAGAAGATGCAGGTATTCCGCAGAGGCTGGCACCACCCTTAGGCCCCAGTGTCTGATGAGTCCTTTTCCATCTCACCCCAGCCCACAGCTTCAAGAACCCAAAAGGAAGCTTCTCCTCTTAAGACTTGGGGCTAAGAGTTCAAGGAACATTTGAACGACAACCCTTCAAGAGAAGCCTTGTTTCTTCTGAAGGGATGACAGGCTATGGGTCCCTCTTAGCCAGGGCTCCCAGGACCCTGTTGCTGAGCAGGCTGGCTGTGTCTAGGAGCCCCAGGTCTCCTAGTCTCGGCCCGCCCCAGGCCACGGCACCACATGCCACCTGCTGCATGACACCAGCCATGGGCTTCTTTATTGAGCACCAGATTTTCAGTACAAGTTGCCATAGAAGGAAGGTTTCAGATTCAGCCACGCCCACCAGCAAGGGCCCTGGTCCCTGAGAAGGGCACATAATCAGAGGAGAGATGTGGCCGTGCCGAGGTATACGTGTGTACAGAAACAGGCACATGGGCTTTAAGAGCAGTAGTAGCTGACCATCGAAATCAGTCTTCTTGGAAGGAATAAATGCAAGTGTTGCTTGATCCCACAGAGTTGTGAAGACTCCACAGGGTAAGGGCTCGGAGAGGTGGCCATGGCATCTTCAGGGGTGCTGCCTCTCTGCTTGTCAGGTGAGAGAAGCAGAAAGATCAGGAAACTCACAGTACCCAGGATGTTGTAAAAATCACAGAACACCAGAACCAGAAAGGACCTTCTTCCTACAGGTGTCAAGACTGAGGCTTAGAGCACGGAGATGCCTTGCCAAGGCCACACAGGAAGAAAGAGGCAAACAGACCTGGGCCCTATACTCCCTGCCCTTGGCTTTGGGCAGCCATGGAGATGCCCCAAACTGCCCAAACCTTTGGGACTTGAGAAAGTCTCCCCCTTAGACCAGCCTCTCAAGATAGCAGTTATGTAGAAAATAAGCCAATCTGATGAGAGGCTGCTCCCAGCCGGGGCCCACTAACGAAGGAGTCATCACACATTCATGGTGCTGCCCGAGAGAGGAAGGGCAGTTTGCTAGAAGTCCCACAGAAAGCCAGGGTGGAGCCAGGGCAAGACAACAGCCCAGAAACCCAGACAGCAACATACCTGCAGCGGCTGAAAATGGCATCCCATAGGCTTTGTAGAGCAGGTCGAGAAGTTCTATCTTGTCATCTTCCGGAAGGAAGCTGGACTTTGCTGCATTAATGTTCTGGAAGGGCCAGGATGGCAGACAACATGGAACCAGAGAGGAAGGAAGGGAGCCCTTGGCAATCTAGTGGTAATCTATCTTCTCCATTGAACATGGGCAGGTAAGCTCAAGGAGGGGGGACTTGTCCAAGATCACATGGCAGCTAGTGCCAGAGTAGAGACCATGAGGTTCTGTGTTCCTAATGGGGCATTACATGACACAGGGATGTGAGAAGTTGGAGAACCCTTGGAGAGGCAGGGTGGCAAGTGGGAGGCCAGAGAAATGCCACCCTACATGAGCTGACTCACACAGCCTAGGACCTAGCAACAGCCTGGAGTGTTTGTATGGGATTTCATAGCTGGGCACACCTTTCTGGGGAAGGATCGACAGCTTTCGCTGGGTTCTTTAAAGACACTTAACCCAAGCAAAGGATAAAAAAACCTGGGCCTAGGTCAAGACATCAGCACAAAGTGGAAAGCGCCCAACTCTAGGTCTGGCTTGTCTTGGACTATTTAGGCAAACTCACTCCTCATCTCCCGAGGTACCAGGCCCTGGACAGGACCTGCAGGCCTCACACTCCCAGGCCCTAGCGTCAAGGCCAATACCCACTCACTAGTCTCTTAAACTCCTCTTCGGTAAAACCCATGTCCTGTTTGGTCATCTGGTAATCAGTGTTCAGGGTAGACTTGAAGATGAGCGGGTCATCTGTGTTGAGCGAGTAGTTAGCCTGGTCATTTTTGAACCTGGATCAGGAGGAGGGGGCAAGAGGGAGCCTCCTTTTACTCTTTCGTAAAGTCAGTATACACTGACCTTCACCCTCCTTTGATCCTCATGGCAACCTTAGACCGACCTGATCCTTACACAGAGGAGGAAACAAAGCACAGAGCCCTGGGGTGACTTGTCCAAGGCCACGCAACTAGCAACATCAGACTCAAGCCCACCCTGCGAGTCCAGAGCTGGGCTATGGCAGCAGAGAGGCCTGATGTGACAGACGGAATGGGAGCCTGGGGAGGCCAAGGAGCCCTCCCCTCTGCACCCCGCCCCCATCATCCTCAGTCCCACGGGGATCTGGCTATTCCAACACACCATGGAAACTGTTCTTAGCACAATCCCTGACCACCATCTTGTTAAATCTAACGGATCTTTCTTAGCTCTTACCTTCATTGACTTGTGTAGCAGAATTTGGCACTGTAGGCTGTTCTTGAAACCCTTTCCCCGATTTCTCTGACACCATACTTTTGGCTTTCCTCCTACTCGTTTCTTTTACCTGTCCCTTAAATGTCACTGTCCTTCAGGGTTCTATCCTAGGCCCTCTTGCTCCACCATCTCCTGGGGCCATCACTTCTACTTCAGCCACCCCATCTGTCTGTGCAGATGACTTGCTCCTGAATCTTTCTGCAGCCCATGGGCTGTGCACTCACGTGCTCCACAGGTGCCGCGTACTCCATGTTCCTAAGGCATCAGTCCTCTGCCTTCTCATGAGCTTGGCTGACGGACCAGCGCTGGCCTGACCATGGTCACCCTGAGTTCTTGCTGTCCTTACCTTGCATCAGGGAAAGGTGGCTCTACCCTCCTGAGGCCTCATGCCACTCCCAGGGCTCGGTCACAGGACAGAAGGGCCTTAGCCCTGGTTAGACTATGGGCTGGGAACAGGGTAGGGTGGGACAGACCCAGGGGAAAGCTTCGAGAAGGTGCTTAGGGCAATGCCCAGAGGTGCCAAGAGGTCCCAAGGGCCAGGTGCCAGGAGCAGAGAACGTGCAGGCAACAGAGACTCATGCCTCCTGATGTGATGCCCAGGAGGCATAGGTGAGAGAGTTGGGAGTATGGAGGCTTTCCTCGGGGGAGCAGGGCTTTGTGCTGTAGCTGAGTGAGCTATAGGGCCCCTGGCTCTGCTAGTTAGTAGCTAGATGACCGTGGTAGAATTACAGCACATCTGAGCTTCGGATTCCTCATTTGTAAGATGAGGACAGCAATATCTGCTTCCCAAGGAGTCAAAGAGATTTCACATCTAAGAGACCGGGCATTTGCTAGTACCCGTTCCCTACATTTCCTGCCCATCCTTGGCCTTCCTGCAACAAAATTGAATGGGCCCAGGGGACCAGAGCTCACCGAATGACCGCGTGCTCCGTTTCCGGCTTCCAGGCACCAGTGAGGTAGCTGGACCAGGGGCAGACCTGGAAGAGCAGGCGTGAGGCTGGCAGGGACAGCTCCAAGCCATGCTGACCCCTCCACGGGCCCCCCCCCCCATTGCTGGATCCCACGAGCTCGGCATTCTCCCTCCACCATCTAGTGGTTTTGATGCCCACTGTCCACTCCCGCTTTAGCTCACCTGCCCCTTCAGCTCCTGGGACCCCGCCTGGCCTTCTACGTCTCTGTCCAAGAGGGGGAGGACAGCCGGGGATGGCTCCTCCTCACTCTCTGGCCCCTCACCTCAAAGTGCATGTTTTCTTGCCGCAGCCTGTTGTAAAGGGCCTCGTCTTCCAGGGTGTGGTAGCCGTGTCCCAGCCGCTCTGTCTTGAGCATGTCCACAGCCTGCAGAGAAGCAGGGTGGAGCCGAGCGTGGGGCAGCGGGGAGGCGGGGAAGGAGGCCCCGCGGCCAGCCCAGCTCCTCACCTCTCTCACCACCTCAGCCGAGCCCACCTCCCCGGCGTGGACGGTGCGGTGAATGCCGCTCCTCACGGCCTCCTGGAGGGGTGAGAGCCAGGTCACGCGCAGCCTCGGGAGGCCCAGTAGCCCTGCCTTCGCCACGCTGTGGGCTGGGACCACCCGCAGGCAGGATGGCCTGTGCCAGCAACGCGGGAAGTCTGGTCTCCCCCCAGCCCGTCATCTCCTAAGCGGTAGCTATTCATGTATTAGCCAGCACCTCATGAGACGGTTTCTACGCATTACCTGATATTCACAACCGTCATCCCCCCCGTTCCGTAGGAGGGGAGCTCGGGAAAGCTAGGTAACGTGACCAAAGTCAAACAGGAAGCACAGAGCCAAGCTCTGAAGCCGGGCAGTGGGACCCCAGAGCACCCGCCCTTAACCACCATGCCACGCCCCTTCCACAGGAAGGACGTTCATCATTAGGCTGGAAGGGACCTTTGGGATGTCTTCTCCAACTCAGTCATCTCAACAGAGGAAGCTCGCTGAGGTTACACAGCAAATCATAGGTGGAAGCAGGTTCAATCACAGGACTCCAACGCCAAGGGGTCTTCATGCCCAGTTCCAAGCCCCCAGACCCAACCAAGGCACGCTTGGGAACTTAGGAGTTCCACGTTCCCAGTTTGCGTGGCTCCTCCCGACTGTGGGCAGGAGACCAGCTCGCCCAGGGCCCACCTCGTAGGCCTGCACGTGGCCGGGCAAGAGGCTGCTTCCTTTGAGGGTCTCGTCTCCCGCCAGGTCGATGGCCACCACGGTCTGCTGCCGGTACTTCTTGCACAGCTCCACCACTTCGGGGGACCAGTCTGTGGGCGAGACTCCCGCCGGGCTCTGTCAGCAGCAGCAAGGAGAGAGACCTCCCAGCCTCCTGCTCGCTGTGCCACCCCCGCCCCTACCCAAGGCCAGCGCGAGACAGGGCCCAGTGTCTCGTCTTCCAACCCCAACTGCCACGTCCCAACCACATGGCCTTTGGCAAACTGCGCTGCACAGTGCCTCAGTTTCCTTCCTTCTCGGAGGGAGCACTACCAGCTACCGCACAG